TGGACTTAGAGGATTAGGGAGAGGATTGTCCCCTCGCGTCATGACCACTGTTCCGAGCAGCGCGTTATGTTGGTTATCTTATGAATTTTTCAGTAAGTATCGTGTCTCCAAGTCCCTTTCTCTCGTCACTAACCCATTTCATTCAAATCAGAGGCCGTTATGCGCACCGATTAAAGAAAATCAAAACTATGATACCGCTGGATAGACCGTTGATCATCGCTTGTCAAGTATGGATTATGTGCACCATGCACCTCACTGGAGAGATACATTGATAGGATGAATACTCCTGTTTCATGATTTCGCCATGATCACAGGCTTATGGTTCACTAACATTACCTCTACATATATACTGTCTTCTTACTGTACCTACATACTCTTCCGTAGATCTTCGTCAAAGGAGGATCGATAATTCGTCGTGGTCGCCGCTGGCCCACGGACGTTGTGCCTACTTTGCTCGGCTTCGGTCATTTCGATTATACCACTGGCAAAAGATAGAGACACAGGATAGGCTAATTAATCAGACGATGACTGTGCAGACCTACAGTATTATTAGAAAAGGACTGCGCAAGTCCTCTGTCGGGTTAATCGGGACCAACCTGAGGTCGGTATGCCATAGATTATACTACTTATGTACTCGTGGAGGACTTCCTCTCTACTTAGTGTCTGCAGTTGAATACCAGGATACTTCTTCAATTTGCTAGTCAGCCTGATCATGCTACCCCCTGATTATCACAGATCCACCCAGAAACCCTATGTCTACGGACAATGGTGTGGTTCGTTCGAAGCATAATATTCCTGAATTCGTTCATGCAGATATTGGGAAGCATCCTGGACCAGAAATAAACATCAAAGGTAGCTACTTTTCTCCAGATGTTGAATTTATCTTCATGGATTGGACCGGATGATTAATAGCTGGAAGTTTGACACAACCACATAGCCGTTGGTGTTCAGGCATTAGAGTACAATCACAGGTCATGTACATGTAGTTCAACCTTCGCATTCTGGATATCGAACGTTGCGATTTGTTGCGACGTTCTCCCGTTGTTTGCATTTATATGGCATCGCTCAATCGATGTTGGTGATTTGTACATAAGAGTCGTGATGGAGTATACAACGAAGAAGTGGAGGAAGATAATGTAAATAGAGCATGAACAAGTTGAAGTAGAATCGAAGAAAACAAAACGCCTCGCTCTACCAACAAGCACACATCCAATCCTTCTGACATTCCCAAAACGCGCCGCCTGCCTTGCCTGCCCCATCTGCCCCATCGCCATCGGCACTTCCACCACCAGAATCCAACATGGTCTCCACCACGACCAACTCTGTTTGAGAGCCTGAATCCGGTCGTTGTCGTAGTTTTACTTTTTCGCCTTTACGTGGACCAGTGAGGACTATAGCGGAATCGTCTTGAGAGGAGGGAGGAACAGGATGGAGATAAGTTGTTAAGAAAGAACGTTCGAGGGACGGCTCTTGCTTCAAAGCATCGACAGTAGCAGGATTCGCAAAAGGTGATTTATCCAGATCGAGTCTGATTAACGCGGTTTGTTCGAAATTGTCAGCAACACGGGAGGCAGCGAGGATATGGGCGTCTAGGGATTCGTATTTGCCGTCAAGGTAGGGTGGGTTGGAGTGTTTGGTGCCGAGAATTCGTATTCGGAGACTTGGGAGGTGATGGAGGAGGTGAGCGGAGAGGAGCCAGGTTGGGGGTGGATCTAAGAAAGAGTTTGGTAGGCGATTGGGAGATTCTAGATGATACTCACGGAATTCATCTCTCATATCTATATCATACTCGCCTCTTCTTCCCATTCCAGGTGTCGGAGCAGCATAAACGGACTGAGCAGAAGCCGGTGTAGGCGCAGAATAATCTGTAGGATAATTCGAGTATGCATAAAGATATGAATTTGGATTAGAATTGGGGTAGGAACCGGGTGTAGTTCCAAGCCCTGCCGGTGTAGATGGGATAGCTGGCGTTGGCGCGAATCCAGGGGAGGAGGGAGTTGCGGCAAAGGCCGGAGTAGGAGCGCTCCATGTACCGGAAGGGATTTCGGCATCCCAGCCACCAATTCCGTTACCGGCATCAGCAGGGGTTGGAGAGCCCCAGCCTGCCGCAGCTCGGTCGTTGCTGTTGTCGGTACTCCACGCACTCTGACCTGGTGTAGCTCCCCCCCATGAAGTACCGGAGCCAGAGCTCGGATTAGCATAAGGATTCGGTGTTCGTCCTCCATTAGCATAAGGATTCGGAGTTTTTGAACCAACATTCCAGGCAGGTGTGTGCCCACCGTTCGCAGCGTATGGATTCGGTGTTTTCGAGCTAGGTGCCCAAGCAGGAGTGTGATTACCACCTGAAGCGTATGGATTGGGTGTACGACCACCTCCGCCGCCGCCACCTGCACCGAACGGAGTCCGATTCCCCCATCCGGGTGTACGACCCCCTGCGCCGCCGGGCGTTCGGCCACCACTCCATCCAGGTGTTCGGCTTCCAGAGTTGTTGTTGTTACCCCATCCAGATGCGCGATTAGAGGAAGGTGGCCCCATTGAATTATTCCTTCCCCAAGTCGCCCCAGGTCCTTCAACAGGCTCTGTCCTCCCATCCGGTAATTTTCTGTGCAATTTCCCTTTTTCAATACTAATCACTTTGTTTCCTGTGTTTAGCTCCACACGAGCAACGCCAGTCAGTCCAACACCATTTGTATCTTTGACAATACCGACGTATCCTTTGTGAGGTCCTTTAATGACGACGACGTGCGCGCCAATAAGATGATCTCGAGGTCCTCGGCCGATTGTTGAGCCAACAAGGCTTCCAGTAGAAGCGCCTCCTGCAGAAGCTGGGTTCATTTTCGTGAGGTCTGCTCCAGGTGGAAGTTTACTCCCGGTACTACCCAAAGCCCCTTTGGGGTTGATAGACACCAGGCTCCTAGCTCGAGTGACGAAAACGCCGCCGTTTTCTGCTATATCTCTGTTATGTAGAAATGCATAATGCGATTGATGAATGTGTAGTACTCGGCCTTTACGCTGTTCACCGTCGAATTCTTTCATCATGTCTCCGACACGGATTTCATGAGAGTCGCGGTCGGTAGCGATTGCCCGGAGAGAATCTTTTTTGTCTTTGCGGAGTGAAATTTGGTGTGGACGGACGAGACGGGATTGGGAGTGTTGGGTTAGGATTAAGAAGGAGTCCAGTTGGGTTTTGTAAATCACTCCGACTGTTTGGGGGCTGGACAAAAAAAAATGAGAATTGGTATGGACATAGAATGGAGTGAGCGTACTCGAGCTGAACTAGATCATGTAATTCATATTCGCCCACAACATTAGTCGTATTTCCTACTTCGGCAGCTTCCCTCAAATCTTTGGAGAACACTGATACCTCCTGCATTGACATATCCGAAATAAACGTAACCACCGTATTCTCTCTCCTTTCGCTCGCCGCATTTGAGTCGGATACCGAAACAACCAATCCCGTCTCACCGGCGTTCTTTCCTTGCATCACTTTGACATGGTCCCCTGGTTTGAATCTTTTTCTTACTGAACGAGCGGGCAGATCAATTTTTTGACCTTCGAGGTCGACGCCGAGTGCGGTGATGGTGAGTGTTTCGCCTTGAATTTCTTGCACTATACCGTGCACACCAGATTGTTCACCTTGGAATACTTCGATGTGGTCTCCAGGTTGGAGAACGGCTAACGCGGCTTTACGGGATGCCTCAGCGATGATGGAGAGATCGACCATGCCGTCTTCCAATGATAAATTAGAGTCCGGGTTCCGAGAGAACATGGTTATTTCGTCGAGAGTAGGATTGACGTCTTCGAGGATGATACTGTTCAGTTTGATGTCTTTTTCAATAAACCCGTCTTTGTAAGTGTCTGAAAGAAATACGAATACTGGACCTCGTTTGGAAACGGTGTTGCGGCCGTATACTTTGATAACTTCTTCGTAGTTGAATAATCGTTGTGGAGGTCGGGCGGAGGAGTTGGAATTGGTAGTTGGGGCACCTTTTTTACGCTTTCGACCACCTGGACCATCGTCTTCCCTTGGATTGAGGTCAACGCGAGGTACAAACCGTACACCGACTTCGTCACCGTTCTCGGTAACGTCAACGACTTGAGCTAGATCACCAGCGTATTTTCCGCGTTTAAGACGAACCCAAGTTCCTGGAACGACTTTGTCACCTGCATCGACTTTTTTGATCAATAGAAGTAGCGCCATTTCGTCGATAGGCACTAGATGAATCCCACGAGAAGGATAAACACCGACTAATCCTGCACAGGCTTGAGAGACTTGTTGCGACGACCGGGCTTCGACATAGATCATCCCAGGCAACGAATCTCTCTGGAACGCAGACAGTATCGACAATGGTTTCGCTGTATACTCCAAGTCCAACGATTTGCGCATCAACGAGAACACGATCTCTCTTTCTCTCCCTGGTTTGACTCTGACCTGCCACAACGATGCATCATGCACACTAGGCATTAACAATCTCTGTGGAATTTCGCTCATCTCCCCTGTAAACCTTCGTCCACCGCCAGCTCTCCCATACCGGTCCGCCAGCTCTCTAGCAATCTCTTCAGCTGATTTTTCCCCACCAGAACCTTCTGCCTGTCGACGTTGTTTATCCACTCGAGCATGGTGTCGCCCGTCGTCAAATTCCCCTTCGTCATCGTCCTCGCCGTCGTGAGCGTCTGTCTCCTTCGTGATGAACCCATCTACTCCAAAATCAGAGTCTGGATCTTCTTCTTCCTCTTCGTCAGAAACTTCAGCTTCAATGTCCAGGAAACGGGAGAGAGCGTCTCGTTTGTGCCGGCGTTTCGGTTTTTTCTTTCCAGGTTCCTCTACTTCCGACTCTTCTTCTTCGTCTTCAGAGTCATCGTAGAGTTTGCGACGCGGTGGTGAGGAGTGTGGGTCTTCAATGTCGGACATGGTTGTAGGAAAAGAAGAACAACTATTGGTTGTGTATGTGTTGTTTGATTGAACGCGCTGAGATTAAAATATGTACAATATAGGCTATGGTCCAATAGTGTAGAGGTTATCACACGGGATTCTGATTATAGAGTTCCCGTAACCCAGGTTCGAGTCCTGGTTGGACCTTATCAGGTTGCTGTGGTATTTACTTTTTTTGCTGCTGAACGATCCCAATAATCAGCAAGACCTGTCGCAGTTGCTGGCCAATGACAATTTTCTGCAATGGAAAGATGTCCGCACCAATGGATACGACAATGGAGTGATTGTGTCGCCTGCTTGACATGTACTTGGTATGTATAATGCTTCCGATGTCTTCTCTCCCTGTATCTTCTTGAGGGGCTGAGAGATTCCTAACCTTTGACTCGCAGTGCTGAAAGACTTGGAGTGAAAAGAAATACACAGAAAACATAGCATGTTTAAGAGGCCATATCACTACCATCTAGAAGTAGGTACATAGAAATCAAGGTCAAACTTGTCAGAGGTGCTGAAGCTTGCAACTGCATTATAACTGAATGAAGATTTGAGAGCCGTATTGAAGATATCATCAGGTCTAGTGTTAAGTAGCAGCTCATACCAGTGGCTATTATATGCCAGCGTCGAATAACGGAGCTCAGTACTTATGTCCCGGGTAAGCCCTACTCGCGCATGACAACTTCCGTCAAGGGTACAAAATGGGAAGCAGATATTAGGCGCCCAGCTGTGCCCATCGTCGAATAATTCCCACAGTCAAATCTTTTCCTCCTTCCAACTCTTTACATGCCGTTAAAGCTGAAAGGCGCGTCGACCCCTCCGACAGACCCATTCTCTTGGGACGCTTTGCCCTCCCCATCACCCCCTCCACATGAAGTTTCCGCTGTAACTGAACCAACAACAGTATGGCTTCCAGCACGGGATATGAAGCTGTTCGGTGCTCGGCCGCTATCATCCACGTCTGAAGTCGGCGTGGTGAGGTGCAAGGACTGTGACAAGCCGATACTGAAAAGCGCTATCTTTGAGCATGCAGGTGTGTGTGCACTCCTAGTCAATTCACGCCTTTGAACGAGATTGACTCAGTGGTTATCCACGCTCAGCCAACTGCTCTCAAATCCGGAACATCGCCATGATGGCTCAGGCGAAGAAGCGGAAGGCTTCTCCGTCATCTGCCTCTCTCCCTGGTGAGCCATCTTCGAAGAAATCGAAAAAATCCGCTCTGCCCAAGATCACCAAAGGTCGAATGAAAGGACCTGTGGACTATGACAAGCAGTGCGGTGTCATCAACGACAAAGGTCTTCCATGTTCCCGCTCACTTACTTGTAAATCACACGCGATGGGTGCCAAACGCTCTGTACAAGGACGAAGTAGGCCTTACGACGATCTCTTACTTGATTGGCAGCGCGAACATAACCCAAATTTCGTCGAGCCTGTGAAAAAGGAAACGAAAAAGGAAAAGAAAGAAAAGAAAGATCGGGAGAAAGCTGAAAGGAAAAGGGCTATTGAAGAGGCTGCGGTCAAGCTTGGGTTGGATCCGAGCAGTAAGGAGGGAAGGAAGGCGGGTGCGGCCGCTACTGGACATGCTATCACTACATCGTCGAAACATGGGCCATCGAAACGCGCACAAGCCGCGGCTGCTGCAGCCGCGGCCTCTGCTAATCCGCTCGATGATGTCGATAATGAGAATTACGACGAGCTGGACTCGGAGGCCGAGGTCGATGATCTTGTCGCTGCCGTCAGACAAGCGAGGACGCTAGGTGTCATTGCTCAACCGTTGGCTGTTCCGGTCGAAGCTGGGAGCTGGTTTGTGGAGAGGAGGGAGAGATTCCGGTTAGCTTACCATATGATTGGCGTTGCGTTGAACCCGGCCAAGATGTCGTCTAGACGGACTTTTACTTGAGGCAACAAAGCACAGGCTCCACCGGTTTGGTTATTTTTACTACATGGATTAGACGACTGGATTTTTTCTGATGACCACTTACGGAACGCGTTCGACTCTAGGATGGTAATTTATTCATAGTCGCCTACTCAACAAATTACATGCTATTATATCGATCCTTGACCTTTGAATCATCATGCTCGCAAGATAGCGCCTGTTACAGAAAATTTTATAGGATTTAGATTTGAATAATCAATCTTTACATGCTGATCATGAGCTTTCTTGCTATATATTGCATGGTTCTTTGTCGAGAGTGCACTGTAGAAGTTCATGTTTGCCCGCTTATCCTGATCCCCTTTCTCCTCCTTTCATCTTGAGTGTATTTCGAGGCAGTTTTTCTGTGTGTTTCCACCAATGTAGTGAAATCCAGGAGTACACAAGGCAACGAGAAGAAGTCACTTGTACTCAGACGAGGGGGGAATGAATTACTTGCGTGTCGCACTTGAAATCGCTTTCCCTGCGCTCTATAGCGACTGCTATACTGGATGTGGTGATATTCACTCTTCTAGACCACCATCACACAATCACGAGTATTCTCATCATCTATCGGTCTGAACACTTGATTTTGTTTGGTTCAGAACCGAACTGTTCGATCTTCTTATTGCTGTGGGTCATGGCTATGCACGCATTGGTCGCGGGTATCTTCGATAAACTTGCCTTCCGCTCCTCGGGCAGCAATATACACCATGGCTATGCTTCATGCTAGGATCTTCGTTGTATCCGAGAGAGAGAGCTGAGGTTTACCCTTTCCGCAATCAACAAAGTGGCAGAGCGGTTCCAGACTTGCTCACTTCAAAATGTTCCTCACCATTCCTCCTCCTCCTCCAATTCTGATTTTGACGGTGCCAAGCGTTTGAAGTATTACCTTTATTATGCTGACATCCAACACTACCATACTACAGCTCATACCGAGCTCTCGAATCCATACGTTCCATGTTTCATAATGATCATTGAATATTAGTCTAGGGAGCCGGGTGTGGAGCTGGACGGGACAGGCATATTAATCCTACATCAATCAACTCGTTGCTCACCGACACCACCATCGTTAATGAATAGAGCGCTGCTTCTCGAAAAGGATCAAATTCAAGTCAAGTTTCAGTCTCTTCCCGGTCTCCTTCACAGGTACGTGAATTCGAGTCCATTCAGTATGGCCGAAGCCGACCGATCCATTTTAAGGATCCTAACGGCTATAAAAACAATCTTGGCTGATAGACCAGATTCCCAAGTGCAGCTGGTCTTAACTTCCCGTCTTAACTGTTTCCATACACAGTGCCGGTCATCTGTGTTTGGCTTGTCATTATTTTTCGCCGCTGCTCTACTCACATCTGCACGCAAACACACTTTCATTCCATTATCATCATGCCTAGACTCTCTTCTACCATTGCTGTTGCCGTCATTGCGTTAGCTGCAATAGGCACTGTTGACGGTCTGAGGTACCTTGATTGTTTTTTTCCCCTTGTGCCGTGCTGATATTATTACCTCTATAGTCCCCGAACCTCCAACGACCGTATCTACTCCAGACACTTTGCGCGTCACCACCCCGCTCCACGTACTAACAAGCACGACGTAGCAGTTTCCGGTCTCGAGACTGCTGGAAACGCTGCTGTCGCGGGATTGGAATTGCAAGGGTCTTCCAGCTCTGAACCTCAGAGAAGAAGCTACGAGGTTAACGAAATTCGAACTACTGTTTCCGTCAGTCCAGAATTGCACGAAGGAGTCGTTATTACACCCCCAGATAAATCTGACAGTGAGCTTTTTTTGTTTCCTTTTTGGCAAGGTTGACCGATATACTTTTCTTTCATTAGTGGCACTACGTCAAAGGTCTTTAGCAAAAGCAGCCAAATTGATACACCACGCGGACAAGGCGGTTGAAGGCGCTACCGTGGTTGGTACAGTGACTGAGGGTGTTGAAGGTAACAAAGAAGGGCGATCCCTCCGAAAATCCCGCTCTATCGACAATCACGAGTCTGGTTAGTATTTCTGTTTCATAACCGATTTGTGCTCACATCTTTTTCGGTGTAGTATCCCTCAGCAGAAGAAGGAAGCCTAAGAAAAAGAAGAAAGCTCCTTCTGCTCAGCCTCAACATGAAGAGCCTAAACACGAAGAGGTCAAACCTGCTGAACCCAAGGAGGAACCCAAGCCCAAGGAGGAACCCAACGAGGACTCCAAACCTCCTAGTAGTGGCACTAACAAGCACGATGTAGCAGTTGCTGGGTTCCAGGCTGCTGGACAAGCTGCCACGGCTCTGGCCGGTATGCAAGGGTCCGGGACTTCAGCGCCAGAGACTCCAGCCCCCCCGGAATGAGGACGTTAGAGTAGAATGATATTCTTTTTTCTTACGTCCAGTGACAAAAGATATAGTGGTTTAAGAAGTTTGTGATGTAAGATAACATGCATAGTCAACAAGTGGAATAGCGAATTTATTTTCGCCTTTGAGATTCACAGAATTTCATGGCACCTTCCTTCGGGGTTTCGAGAGCGAAATAGTCCTCACATTTGTTCCTTGAACTAGGACTGGATAGAAATACGACATGAATTTGACCTCCGAATTCCTGGGTTTGCCACCGTTTGTCAAGCTGTATGTGAACGGTGACGAGGTCGATCTGAATTGATACTTCCAACCATTAGTAGTGAATACGGTATTTTTCATCGAGTCATAGTGATTCACAGGTACATGCCAGTGAAAGGCACGTTCCCGTGGACCATGACTCATGAACTTTTGGCCTTCAAAGTTCACTCCGTTCCCTATACCATATCGCATCACCTCATCCATACCTTCATTCCGAACTTAACGCGCTTCTTGGAGTATTTCTTTCATGACCATGCAATATCATGACAGCTTGATAAATTACAAAGTTGTGTCCGAGTCCGACACCAACACTGAGAGATATTGTATTATGAACATGCATTCTCTCCTGGTCTTGTAAATGAAGTCAAATCACTCATTGGATAGAGCAAAGAATAGGAAGTACTAAAGGTTTGACTTCTTCGACGGGTCCGAACTGAGGGCTATATAACGAGTTCAGGTAGCTCATGCCTCCTACTATCACACTATGCACACTGGCTTCTCTCGTAGGAACCTTGCTTTGACTCTCTGGATGACCACCCAAGTCACATTCGCAACGCCTTTTACTCAGTTCGAAACAGCCTGCAATGACCTTGCATTTCAGGCAGCGAACACCATTGCCAACACCACAATTTTCTTTGCAGACATTG